GGGGGTGAAACCACCCCTCAAATATTACAATATTTTTTATTTAAAAAACGGTCAAGTTTCCGAAAAAAAAATCTTATTTTGTTTTTTACATATTTTAAGATTTTTTAAAAATTTAGACATGGTGTTTCAAAAAATCTGGTCATTGATTAATAACGATCCTGCTTGACGTAAAAAGCTGATTTTTGGAAAACGGATTGACTTAAGGGTGTAGAGGTTCGATAAGAAAGGATTTTTCGAAAATCGAATTCTAAGGGGTTGAAACTACCCCTCAATTATTAAAATATTTTTTATTTAAAAACCGGTGAGTTTTTCGGAAAAACTCTTAAACACGTATATTTTATTTTGTTGTTTTACATATTTTAAGATTTTTTAAACATTAATACAGGGTGTTTCATAAAATATGACCATTACCATAACGATTCTGCCTAAACTGTTTGACGTTTAAAGCTGATTTTTGGCAAACGGATTGATTGTGGGGTGTAGAGGTTCGATAATGAGGAGTTCCTCAAATCTCAAATTCCAAGAGGGTGAAAACGCCCCTCAAATATTACAATATCTGTTATTTAAAAAACGGTTAGTCTTTCGGGAACATATTTTTTTACATATTTTGAAATTTTTTAAAAAATCATACAGGGTGTTCCAAAAAGTTGGGTACAACCAAGCCTAGGACATGTATAAAATATGTGCCACGGCACTGTGTGGAAGAATGGTCACAGTTTGGTCTTAGGTTCAAGATTGTATTGTTCAAAACAATAACGGTTTCCTCATATTATATATATTATTATCGACTGTCATTTCAGGGGTTACTATGATTGCTTTTTTTCGATTATTGTTATTTGTTAACTTAATTTTATTTCATTGTAATTTAACCCATAAGCATATTGATATTTCAGTTTTGTATTCAGGGATTTAGGATAGTTACTATAATCTTTAAGTCGTATAACGCTTTGTTACGCGACAGATAATCTTGTTAGATAGTAAAACATTTACTCCCTTCATTCATTCATTTAATATTAAATCAAAATATACCACAACAGATGGCACAAACCTCAAGTAATGTCTTGCAGAAATGCTAATCTAGTTTCGGTAGGATTACAGTTCCTATTTCGAGGCATGCCGAGTATCTGGCCTCAAAGCATCACTTAAGCAGTATCACGTTCTAGTTTGTGCGATATTTATAAAACTATTAAAAGAACCTTCGAAACATTAACGATGAAAAGTATATTAATATTCAAAATATCGGTACTGAATGGAATCGATATTTTTAAAAATATTTCTGGAATTGCTTCAGATGCATTCGAATATGTCTGTATAGGCTTAAAAAGTATTCATCTTGATTTTTGTGGAAATAAATACCTAGTTTTATTTAATGCTATAAAAAGTAAGTTTATTATTTTTTATTCTTTTAATTTTAAAAGAACACAGGTCCGATTCTACTATGTTTTGTAGCTACAGGGTGTTAAAATCTTAATATTTTTCGATTTATTATAATTTTCTTCCAAGTACTTTTAGCGTTTCGAAAGAAATTCTGAGAGTAAAGGTCATTGTAAATGCGACATATTTTAAAGCTAAAAAATTGTCGACATATTCACCGGGACGTGCATATGGGTTATCTTGGGTTACTGGAATATTTTTTCTAAAAAAAGCATGTACGCCACTGACTTTTTTTCTCTTGTTAGCGAAATAGAGTAAGCAGTTTAATGCCGATTAAAAGTTGTCTCTTGATATTTTGTCGATTTCGGCCTCCTTGATGAGAAAAACGTAATTTTATTAATTTGCCCTGTTCCAAGTCTAATAGTAACCTTTTAAAAAAATAATATCATTAATTTGCAAAAGTTTTAAATAGGTGCTCATTGATTCCTCTTCAAAAAATATAAAAAAAGTTACTTAATACCATCAATTTTCTTGATGTTACAATTATAAAACAGTCTAATAGATTACAATTTGATATTTTCAGGAAACCCACTACCACAGACACGGTAATACATAGTCAATCACACCAATCCTGGCAAATCAAAATGTCACCCTTTCATAGTTTAATTCATAGATTAGTAATGTTTCCACTGAGCCCAGAGAATTTTAAAAAGGAGTTAAATATTATTAAACAAATCGCCATCAACAATGGATATAAGTGTTCCCTTATTGATAATATGCTAAAGAAAAAAACAAAAGAAAATATTAATGAAAAATTTTTACTCTGCTAATTCTAAAGACAATAGCAATTATCGACTTTTAAACTACATTCCTAATTTAACTAACAAAATATCAAACAATCTCAATAAAATAGGTTGTAAAACTATTAACGTAAATAAAAGAAATTTAGGTAAAATTTTATTAAATAATAAAGACAAAACTAATGTCAAAAATAAGTCGGGTGTATATAGGGTGGATTGCAATGATTGTGATGCCGTGTACATAGGCCAAACAGGTAGAAATTTAGATATAAGGATTACAGAACATGTAAAGTCTATTAATAACCTCCAGCATAGTTCTGGTCTTGCAACTCATTGTATAGTAAATAATCACAAAATTAATGAAAACTCAATTAAGTTACTACACAGAGAAACAAAAGGTACCCGCTTAAATTACATTGAACAGTTAGAAATACTAAAATCTGTTAAAAACGAAAATAATGTTAACGACCAACAAGGATTTCTAAACACATTTTTTATTACACCTATTGTAAACTCTCTGATCCCACCCCCATAGCAAATATATATATAGTTACAGTGTAGTTAGACAATTAGTTCTTAAAAAACTCTTGAAAAAGGCCTAACAAGCCGAAACATATATGTAGAGTTAAAGTTACTCTTATTAAAAGTTTTTTGAAACATCTAAAAGCGTGCTTTATTAAAATACTAATATTTCAACGATGTTTCACAAGGAACCAACCACAGCTTCAGTACAATTTATTTAAAAAAAAAAGTTCCTATACACATGGGAATGGAAATGTATAGTTTTAGAGTTCCAGGATGTTAACACTTTTTAAAATTAGTTTTTTTTTGTAATTATCTTAAATACCATTATTTTTTATTTGAAATTGATGTAGGTGTTAAACTAAATAGTAATAATCTACATATATAAAATGCTAATGTTTCGTTTCTACTGAAGTAACGACTTGCTCTAGAAAGTTGCTTTTTTATTAAAAGATGGCTAATTGGCTCTTCTAAAAACTGTCGTCGCCGGATTTTTTGTTTTTCACTTAATTAAAAAAAATAAAAAGTATTTTTTTTCCTGATGTCGTGGCGGATACGCCATGCTTCAACTAGTATACAGGGTGACAATTTGAAAACGAACAGTATTTAATATTGCCTCTACCGATGATAGTATGAAAATTTGGCGAAACACGTCAATCAATTAATATCAATGGGGACAATTTTTGAGGCATTTGTTGTCGTGTTACTTTCAACCCCTTGACCCCCAGGGCACCTACCCCTAAAACTTTAAATAGCAACCCCTATTTTTTACCATTTTTGTGTTTCCTATAGAATTCTACATAAACTGCATTATTTTTTTGGGAATTTTATAAGGAACACAAAAATAGTAAAAGAAATAGGGATTGACATTTAAAATTTTAGGGGTAGGTGCCCTGGGGGTCAAAGGGTTGAAAGTAACACAACCACAAATGCCTCAAAAATGGTCCCCCTTGGTATGTAAATTGACGTATTTCGCCAAATTTTCATACTATCATCGGTAGACGTAATATTAAATACTGTTCGTTTTCAAATTGTCACCCTGTATAAATTAGGTTTTCAAATTGTCATCCTTCATAAATTAGGTAAAATAAATAATTTAATAATTTTATTTTAATTTTAATTTTATTAATTGTGATTAATAGATAATATTGCGTTTATCTCATCAAGGAGGGGGAATTCGAAAACATATCAAGAGATAACTTTTAGTTGGCACTAAACGGTCCATTGATCCAAATGTTGATATCAAAACTTTTATTCTCAAAATTTCATTGGAATCACTAAAAGTAGTTATGAAACAAAACAGAATGGAACCTATGTTGATATAAAAAAAATAAATCTTATTTTTACGCGAGGAATCTCCTCACGAGAGATGACACATGTTTTTTGAAACACCCTGTATATTATTTTTGTAACTTTAAACTTAAAGACTTTAATAAAAAAAAGAAAAAACTTTATAGTGTTGGTAAAATTATGCTGTTATTGTTTTAATATTTTTGTTTATTTTTTGATAGTAATGAATCACTTCTCCTCTACTTGGTTAATTAGTAATTATTAATTTTTAGAAAAAGTGGGATTTGTCTCTAATTGGTCAAATTACTAGAGCTGATCAATATTGTTGCGATTGATATAATCAGATTAAATAATTTGACAACCTAGAGTCGGACTTGAAATTATTGTAAATAATAATTAAATAGTTTAGTTGTTGTTAAGGTACCCAAAACAAAAAAAAAAGTATAAATTGTGGCATATCATTATACTGAGAAAGACCGAGTTCTTTCAAAATCAAAATCACAAATTATCAGCTAGTTTGAAAATCTAAAAATACTATCAAATAGCTCTAATAGAGTGGCTATCAGAATGTGCAATTAGTTTTTTGATTTACTAAAAAGTAACGACAGGAAAAAATAAAATTGATTTTCAAAAAAATCAGTTTTATTCAAAAAAACTCAGCAATCCTTGAAATTTTTAAAACTTTTCTGATGGCATTTTGGTGAACATCCCAAGGCGCAACTTTGCCCTATCTTCGTATCTATTACGGTTTCCGAAATACCAACGCTTGTATCTCAAATTTGTAGCACCCTGTAGAGACAAGGATACTACTTAGCCAAATAATTCGGCTTTTGTTATTTTTGCAACAAAATAATACACTAAATAAAGTGTATGCTCTCCGTTCTGATAATATATGTCACCAGCAGAAACTAAACCTGCACTATGCTCCACACAAGTTAGTCTATTCTTATCCCTATCGCAACCCCTTAGAGATCCTTAAAGCGTTAAACTATAGTCGTTGTGGTTCTGTTGCAGGTTAATTTCAAGCCGTTCCCGGGCGTTCATCTACGACAGGAAACCATCGGAGATGACTTTCTGTCATCGGTGGCGGCACGTCCCAAAAGGGATCCGGTGCACCAAGTAGACGGTAAGTTTGCCACGGCCATTGTTGTTTTATTACGATTGCGGAATTAACGCCAACGTTAAAGTGCATATCTCGAATTTACTACGTGCCGTTGTTGGTCGTCGCGTCGTGGGATGGAAAATTATTGTTGTGATTTAGTGTCTTGTTCGGGTTTAGTTTCAGGATTGGCGGGTTAATAGCACAAGGGGGTATTATAACCGAAGTGTAAGAAGGGTTAGCGTGCCAGTAAAGAGGATGTAGAAGATAATTTAATTTATTTAAAATTTATTGTCAGGCAATTATAATTAATTCGTCGTAAATTATAAATTTTTGTTATTTAAAAAGGTCTTTCAAATTCAAATTCAAATTCAAATTCAAATTTCTTTATTAGACCCCATTAAGTTTTACAGAATAATATTAGTATTAATAAATGTCTGTCTAAAGGGATCGCACCGCGACTAAAAAACCGATACAATGGCACAAAGTGCCAGAGTGGTGCGACCCCAAATAAAAAATAGAAATAAACAAAATTAAAAAAATTAAAATTATATAAAAAAAGTGAAAATATAATTTTATCAGGGATGAGCAGAGATAAGCAGAGAGGCATAATGAAACAGTGTAAAAACCGGAACAGCAACCAATGACGGGCATATCAGAAGAACAAGATCTCACAAATCAGTCGAAGAAATTATAATATTTACGAATTTAGTAAATGATTTTTAATTTGCTTTTTATAATCTGTAAAGGATTGAAATTTAAAGTTATTAGAAATATTATTCCACAAATGTGGCGCCATGAAACTGAAAGATTTTTGGAAGTTAGCTGTTCGGTGTTGAGGAATTTTAAAATAATGCACTTGTCTAGTCGAATGATCATGGTCAACGTAGTGAAACAATGAGAACAAATAGGGAGGCTGCTCTGTAGTTAAAATTCGATAAATGAATGTCATTAAATGAAATTGTCGTCTGTTAGTCATGGATAAAATAGATAAATTTTTAAGATGTGGCGTTATATGATCTCTAAAAGGAATGTTAAAAGAAAACCGTAGACACGAATTTTGAAGTATTTGGATTTTTCTAGAGAATCTAGCGTTTATGGATGTACCATAAACAACATCGCCATAATCAAATAAAGATAAAATAAGTGTGTCACATAATTGATACTTAGTCTTTGATGGTATATATTTCTTAAGAGACGAAAAATTCTTCAACCGTATATAAGCAGCCTTTAATTTAGTAGTTATATGTGCCTGAAATGAAAGCTTCGAATCAAAATAAACTCCAAGATTTTTAGTCTCTGTAACAATGGGTATCGCAACATTATCTATATGGATATTCATGTTACCAGCCGTATTTGTAATTTTGTTTATATCACTACCAAATACTATAACACAAGATTTACCGGCATTTAATTTCAAATTATGATCCAGAGCATATTTATTAATTTTATTAAGATCGTCGTTAAAATTTAACTGAAATTGTGCCAAATTATTAGTATCTATTCTGCAATAAATTTGAGAATCATCTGCATATTGCTGCAATTCAGAAAACTGTAATTCCTTATTCACATCAGCTACATATAACGAAAATAAAAGTGGCATCAGAATAGATCCCTGAGGAACCCCAGAAATCATAGAAATATAACTAGATTTTTGTTTTAAATTTCCTTACAAATGAAACGATTTGATTATGTAGATGTTTTTCTATAATTTTAGAAATTGCTGGGCAAAATACTCACGGGTCTTAGATCGTTGTTATTTAAAAGTTTGAAAATTTTACAGAGAGGTGTTATAATAGCTTTTTTCCATATTTCGGGATAGACATTGCCTAAAATAGAAGTATTAATTATATTTATTACCGCTTTACCACAGTAAGGCATGCACAGCTTTAGTGCTTTAATTGACAAATCATCTTCACCGACAGCATTAGACCGAATAGAATTTAATATTTGATGTAACGATACCTCATCTATTAGTTTGAAATTTAGAACATTATGCCCTATTTTTTCATGCTTATTTTGTCTATAAAAATCAATTTTTTTATTTGATGCACTATTAATGCAATTCTGACAGTTCGAAAAAAAAATATTAAGCTTATCTACATCCGCTAAGTTTTCAGGAACTTCCGGACTTGATTTAAATGTTAACTTAAGTCGTTTAGCATCTTTCCAGAAGTCTTTACCAGTCTTTTCCGATAAACCCTTAAAATAACTAATTTTTTCTCTAACTATAGCATGTTTTGTAAAATTCCTGAGTTGACGATAATATTGTAATTTGGCTTCAGATCGTTGTTTTAAATATTTTTGATGTGCTTTGTCTCTAAGTTTGATTAATAATTTAATGTTATCCGTTATCCAGGGTAAATATGGTTTATCTGCAATTTTTTTCTTTTTCAACGGTGCATGTTTATTGAGGAGATAAAAAATGTAATTATATAGAGTTTTTATTTTAATATTAATATCCGCTATATAAAAAATATTTTCCCAAGGTAACATAATTGCATCTTTTTTAAAATTTTCCTGGTTAATATGATTATAATCTCTATATTCAATATATTTCGTAGAGCTATGGGATATTTGTAGAGTAAATATAACATATATCAAACAATGATCAGAAACTGACTCAGATACAGGGACGGAAGTACTGAAATCATAATTAAAATTATTATTTGTGATCATTACATCAATTAGGCTGCAGGCATCTTTAACAGTCTATTACGCTGTACTGTTTGGGTTGGGGGTAATAATGGGGTAAAGGGGGGGTGTGGCCGAAGAAAATATATATTATATTTCAGAAATCTGCTTAAGGCTTAGCCCGATCCTGTCCTGTTAAGCCATACCCAAAATTCCAAACACACGTGCTTTGATTAAGGTTTGCAGAGCTTCAGCATTTGCCATAAAATAGCGAGCAATTCGTTATAAAACCATATGACTTATATATACCTGTAATCACAAAAGTTCAATCTATTTCCGTATTGTAATGAAATTTTAAATTATGTCTTTAGTTTCGAGAAAATTTAGTCTTAACATAAGAAATATGTTGATGTTTGACCATCAAAATCTTAAAAATAAAAAAGTTGTCTAAAAATGTGCTACAATTCACAACAATACGGATATAGTATAATCCTTTATCATTAATTTCCTTCTTCATTTAATAAAACTACCGCCACTCTAGCCAGTTTTACATAAAATGTTAAATGCCGAACGTTTATTTTGCTACTTTTTCGGACTAGTGAAGAAATGGACTTTTAAATACTTATGTTACACTAGGATATCAGCGAATGTTTCTTGTGAATTCGCCTGTTAGTGTTGAGCGAGAAAGATCTTGGTTGGTCTTGCACAAAACGCACGATCAAGATCGAGATTAGCGTTTGGTCTGCAAAGCAAAGACCAAGGGTAAGTATGCAAGACCTTTGCGGTCTTGCATTTTTTTACATTTATATGACATAAGAAATTACCGAGGGGTAAACCGCAGAGGGAAAAGTGTATACCGTAATTCCTTTTACTCAAATAATTCCTCAGAATTCCTCGTAATTCCTTCGGAATTCCTTGGAATTCCTGGTCTTCAAGGTCAAGGTCAATCATTCAAGGTCTTCCTTGGAATTCTTTGGTACGAACTCGGTAACTCTTTCAGTCTGAACCAGCGTTGCCACCTCGGTTTCGCAGTTCCGCTATGAATTTTCTGGTGATTTTTATAAATGTCTAATGTCTCTATAAGTACTAGATCTAACAATAAAAAGTACTATTACGAGATTTACGTTTTTTTAGTTAAATTTTAGGACTAATAGGGGATCATGAGGTAAAAATACTGGAAATATGTCGGCACTTACTTATTAAAATTAATTTTTCTCGGGATTTTTTGAAAATGATAGGTACCTAGTTATACTCGTATCTATAGGAAAGGAAATTAATAAAACTTCAGTTGCACGTCATAATACGATCACCAGTAAATTCCATAAGATTACGCATGGTATCATTGATGAAGTGCACCTAAAGTTGTATTAATTTCCCTATAGTATATACCTAGGTATTATTCCGTGGAAATGAAAAAATCAACTTTACACTTTCTAAGTACTGAATAAAAAAATCTTATGAGGGTTTCTTTAAAATGGCGAAATCGGGGAACGTTATAAGTAGATCTCTCGGGGGTGGTTCGGCCGTACTATTGGAAAATATTTTAGATATATAATCGAGGGTACAATATTAAATTAAAAGAATATCTAACCTGTGTAGATATTTGATATTGGGAAATTTTGGAAGTGAAAACGAAAAACGGATAGTAAAAAATCGCCTGCAAAACGTTTTTCTTTAAATTTAGTACTATCTATTATAGTATTCATGGTTTACTAATGTTCGTTAATTTTCTATAAAGTTGCTTGTAATTCCTCTTAATTCCTGTGGAATTCCTCTAAATTTCTAAGGAATTCCTTGGAATTCATTGGAATTCTTACGGAAATAATTGGAATTCCTAGTAATTCCTATGGAATTCCTTGGAATTCCTCGTAATTCTTTGGAATTCCTGTAGAATTCCTTCATAGTGTACACCATAATTCCTCTGCGGTTTACCCCTCGGAAATTACTTATTGGTTTAAAAGATGACTGTTTTAATTTATTACAAACATTGTTTTCCCGACTAAATAAAACAGTTAAAAGCTGATTAAAAAAAATTAGATTTTCTTAAAACCCAATTTTTATTAAAAAAATACGAAAATGGACGTTTTTAAAATAACACGTATGGGTAATATATAGTAATGTGAAAAAAAGATAGAGAAAATATAGACAACAACCACAAGAAAATGGTTAAAAATAACTGTTACACAGCAAAATAAAACACTAAATCACCACAATACACCAAAACACTTTTATTTTTTTATACATCAACAGATGATAAAAACTGGTTAAAAAAGCAAAACTGTTTCAGTTTTAATCATCTGCTGATGATGCAAACATGGTTAGCGAAACACGCGTCCAGTGTAAAATAAAAGTGTTTTGATGTATTGTGGTGATTTAGTGTTTAATTTTTCTAT